GTCCACAATTCAATTTAACAAACTTATAAGACTTATATGAAAATAAGCAATTGGATAAATAACATACTTCAAATATCTTTATTAAGATATTACTCACAGTGATCTGCCGATGGATTTGCCCTCGTGCTTAACCCTACACATTTCATAAACATAATGGGTCATAACAATTCAATCCGTTCTTAATTCATACATCCCTCTTAGGCTTCTTTCTTATCATTTTAACTCATTTACGATGCTCAATACATGCCTAAGAGTGCTTAGAGATGAAAGGAAACGGAAAACGAAACACAGAACACCTCTACAAAATTTCTGAAACAGGGGTCCTCGCTCGAGCGTAGGTTCCACAGCTCGAGTGGACCTTTATGGTCTGCAAAAGTACTGGTTGCCTCATTTTTACGCTCGAGCGTGAATTCAGACGCTCGAGCTGAGAGTCACACTACATGGCTCCCCGCTCGAGCGTGAATATCCCCGCTCGAGCGGACATCAATGTCTGCAAAAGTTCTGGGAGCTCGCATTTCACGCTCGAGCGGACATACCAAATTCTGGGTTTTCCAGAACTGTTCTTGAAGTTCAATTTTGATGTTTAAAGGTTCCAAACTCATGATTTCAGTTCAAAAACATGTAAACACATTATATTACATGAGAATATAAGAGTATGACACCAGATTGTTCAAAATCATCATCTAATTCTCAAATAACCCTCATTTCTTTTGTATGATCAAAACCCATGCATTCAAACTTCATACCAAATTCATATCTCTATCAATTCAATATGCATGTTAGTCTTTGATCCCAATTCCATTTCAAATAGCACCAATGATGCTTATAACCATGAAACTCAACAAAACTATGCTTGCATGTATGCTTCAATGCTCAATCTTTCATAATTCACATATTACATGCTAGATTATGTAATTTCATAGCAATTCTCTTCATGCATGTACACATGGACTTCAATCTCAACTTAATCAATTCAATTCATGATCTAACTTACCATTTAATCTTCAATTCACAAAATCACAACTCAAACTCAAGAATTAAGGGTTGATTACTCACCTAGGAGCTTCAAACACCCAAGTCCTTTGAGTTTAGCTTTCAATTCTTAAGCCTTGAGCCAAAATTGCATAATTCTCTCTTTTTCCCTCTCTAGAGCCGACCCACTCCCTCTCTAGAGTGTAAAATCTGCTTTTGAGCTTAAACTAAAGGAATGTGGGTGTATAGTGCCCCTTTTAAAGTCTCCCTTAATCATATTCCATTAACACTAATTAATTGAGCACTATTTCATCAATTTAATCTAATTAATCTGATCCGAATAAATTTTCAATTAAATTTTACTGTAGGCTCTAAAAATTACGCCAATCATAATGGCGTAGTCAATTTCGGGTACTGTGGTCGCTAGGGCCTTCAATTTAAATTCTAAAGCAGAAAATCAAACGGATTTTCCTACTGTGAACAGATAGAAATTCAAAACCACATATATTCATATAAATGTCACTCAAAATCATATCAAACACATAATCACAATCATAATTAAGATTAATTAGCATAATACGGAACAGGGTTATCACATATTTCCTCACCTAAACTTAGACAAACCAAGTAAAGAAACCCACATTATTCTATGCTTTGTTTCATGCTTACGAATTAGAATCATAATAATTCCACAAAAATTAAGCCATGATTTCATGTTTTGTTTCATATATTGCTTATTTATGTATTTGTTTGTTTTGATTTATAAAGATATACATATATATGCATATATATATACATGGTCCTCTCCCTCTATTTTTTTCTAGATCTACAAGAAGAAAGAAAAGAGGAAAAGGAAGAGGAAAAGCAAGGAATGAGGGGGTGATATGGCTGCGGGAGGACCACCGGAGGAGGAGAACAATTTGGGGAGGTTGCTGGAGGGGAAAGAAGGCTTAGGCGGTCGTCGGAGCTGTTTGGGAAGATGGCTGCCACCGATGATGATTTTTCCTTTTCTTCGGTGATGATTATTCTACTTTCAATGCACTGAAATGAGTTGAGGGGTTTTGGCAGCTCTTTCTCCTCTATTTTTTTTTTAAAAAAATTTTCCCCAAAAGTTTCTTTTTACCACGTGAGAGGGAAATAAATGAGAGTTGTTTAGTAGTGGGACCCACTATTCTTATGTGGCAGTCCAGCTAGGTGTTTGGTTATTCATTCGATAATTTCTTTGGGGCCTGTAGCATTACTGTAAACCAAAACACACTCAATCTGTCTCTCGCACGAACCAGAGAGGCGATTTCCGGCAAAAAGAGATGATTTCTAGTTCTGTCTGTCTGTCTGTCCGTCTCACGAACTAGTGCTCTTCATCTCTCTCATACTCACGAACCAGAGCTCTCTTCTTTATCTCTTTCTCCCTCTCTCTCCGTATCTCTCTCACAAACCAGTGCTCTCCCTCTCTTTCACACTTACGAACCAAAGCTCTATTCTCTTTCTCTCTCTCTCTTCCTTTTCTCTTCACCACCATAATCGCATTGTAAACCCTAGCTTTGCGATCGAGCTTCTGTATCTGCGATCTCAATTGAGGGGTGAAATCCTAACCATCGCAATTTGAAACCCTAGAGTCACGATCGACTGCGTGACGATTGACGGTGACGATCAACCGTTCGTCGTCATCCCCCACCCCTATCGCCGCTGTGCCTTCGACAGTGACGATCAACAATCAACGACAAACCCTCAAGTTTTTAGTGTTTTTTAAATAAAAAATAATAATAATTAAGCATTTTAAGCCATTAATGAAATAAATACATTTTATATTAATTGATACTAATTAATAATTTTAGTAGTAATTGATACTAATTAAGCCATTAGTTGATAATAAATTAAACAATAAAATGAAAAAAATAGTGGAAAAAAATATTGTGTATATTGTATATTTTTGTAATGAATTAATAAATTCAACAAATTAACAAATTTTATATTATCAATAGAAGAGTGTAATTTACTAATTTTATTTTACTTTTTGCACTAATTTTGTTGATTCATCTTTAAATAATTAATATGTAAAAAGAGAAGAACAAAAAAATAAAATAAAATAAAATGAAAAAAAAAGGTCAAAAAGTCAAGATAAATTAAATTCATAATTAACAAGGGTAAAAAAGACATTTATACAGCAAAAAGCTATTTCGTAACTTATTTAATAAATACTAGTTAGCAACTTAAATTTATAATTCAACAGTTACACCAAACAGATTAATAACTTCTGATTAAAGTCATAATCTATAATTTGTTAAGTTATAATATATAATCTGTTTTAACAGCTACACCAAACAGGCCCATCATTAATTTGGGACACCTTATCTCACAATTAAACCTACACACCCCATACATCATGAATTAGGGTGTATGAGAGCACCCGCATCCATCACTACCCATCCATCTTCCCCAAATCCCTCATTCAAAATTTACCCACCCTCAAAACCTTGAAAACCCTTCGATGGCAATATTCCAACGGTAATGGTAGTAACCATTTGATTACCTACACTTCTCCAGCAATGACAATGAATGGAAGTTTTGTCGGCAACCACAACTTCATAAGACGAGTGGAGTAGAACAATAAAAGTTCAAATGAGTTTCATAGCTTTGATGGCATTCTTAGCTTAGAGGAGATTGGCTTTGTAAGAGTAAGTTTCTTAAAAAAATGGCAAAAATAATAAAATCTGTTCGTCATTTTTTCCGGGACTGAACTTTCGAACATATGATCAAAATTCGAGAATACAGGCCCGAACATTGTTTATTTGCTTGGGAACTGTTAACTAAACATTTATTATTTGTTCGGAAACAGGTAACTGAGCACTAATCATCGAAGAAAATGATAAGGCGGTAGAGACAGTAATCACACTTGGCTCTTCTTCTTTTTCGTGGGTTTTGTTAGGGTTTTTGACATAGAAATATTTTTGGGCTGTGGGGGTATGTATTCAATTGAATGAGTGGAATGTTTTTACAAGGATAATTTTGATATTATTTGAGGGGAGAAAATAAATTTTAAGGGTTTCAAAATTTATAAGTAGGGGTTCCAAAGAAATGAGACGTCTAAAATAATAGATGGGGTGTTAATAGTAATACTCTAAATCAAATAGGGCAAATTTCACTTTACGTCATTGTAATGTTTGGAAATGACCATATAACCCCCTTGTGATTTGTGGACTAAAGTGTACCGTTAAACCCTTTAACGATTTAATAAAAAAGATTAAAATACCTTTATATTTTCGTTATTTGTTTGGAAAGTAAAGTGCACTTTAATTCTGTATTTATTCCATGTACAAATTACCTCATTCAATTTTGAAAATGAACATGTAAACCCTTATATTTGCCACATATTTTACTCTTACTATTAAGTTAGCCAAATATTTAACGATATATTTCATTACACGTACCACGTGAGAATTATAGATCATTTTCAAATATTGATAAACTTTAGATCATTTTCAAATGGGTATGGCTTCTGTCCAGTCCGGGATCGGATTGGACCGTGCTGTTGGGCCTGTGGGGCCTACTACGGGTCCCGTTTTGATAATCTGAACCGTTCAATGTGTAGAAATCGTAGAGTACTATATGTCTGTAAAAAATCACGTTGATCGGATATCGATAGCTATGTGATCAAAATAGTTTTTTTGTCAACCGTTAATTTATTCACCGTCCAATTTTTTTAATACGAAACTGATTTAATCATATAGCTATCGATATCCGATCAACGTGATGTTTTATAGACATATAGTACTCGACGAGTTTTACACATTAAACGGTTCAAATTATCAAAACGGGACCAGTAATGGACCTCCACAAACCCAACAGCACGATTCAATCCAATCCCAGACTGGACAGAAGCCGTACCCTTTTCAAATATTGATAAACTTTAGTTTGCCCAATCAAATAATTTGGGTTCTCATTCGATAAGGTTATGGTTGCCACTTCCTGCATCCATTAATGGCATTTTCGTCAAAGCAAAAAATATGTTTCGCTTCTGAACAAAATTGGCCTGCGAGCCAAGCAAGTCTAGACCTTTCTCTCTCTCTCGCTCTCTCTCTCTCTCTCTCACGATTAAGGAAGCGAGGGAAATCGGAGAACAGACGCAACTTCATAGAAGCAATCTCAGAGAATTGTTAAGATCGAGATTTATGTTGAATCCTATCCTTACAGGTACTCGAGAAATGTTGTTGACTCTGGTTTTCTACTTTAAACGTCATTGTATCTATCTATGCATATTGCATATGTATGTATTTCTATTTCTATTATAACAATGAGTGCAAAATGTTTACTTTCATATGGGTTTCATGTCTATATGTTGATTTCACAGTTTTTGGTGGGTAAACTTTATTCTTTAATGTTCTGTCAAGTCCTAAAAAAAATTATATGAATTTCCATTTTGAGTTGGGGAAACAACTTGTAATCTGTTTGGATTGTGGGTGATAAAAAGAAAAGAAATTATTGCAAGTGATCGTGTTTTTCACTATATGTTTGGATGGGTAAGCAAGCAAAACATGTGGGAAAGGGTTATGGGTGACATTTTTTCTGTTTGAATTTTGGGGACAATTACTTTTGGTGAGAAATGAAATAACCAAAATGAGAGAGTTAATTTTTTATTTTTTTTTGTCCTCACAATTTCTCATCATTTCTGACCAAATCATCCCATCCAAACAGAGTGTTATGTCTAATATCTGGTGGTTGTGTTTGATTTTTTATTTTTATTTTTTGAAATTATTGGTAATTGGAGATGTTTCATTTTGATTATTGTGTAGGTGTTGATTCTTTTGGCACTGGTTAATATTCTGAAAATTTAGGGGACTGAGAGCTGGTTCTTGGTCCCCGGAAAATGAGTTCTGAATTGGGTTAGTGTGTGAATAGAGATAATGAGCACCAAATTACATAGCCCATTTCTGGGGTTTCCTCTTCAATACTCTGTAAATAGAAGAAACAATGGCAATTTAGTTTGTCTGGACGAAGTAAAACTACCCAAAAGGGCTTTCAGCAAGTGTAAATGTGTGAAGCAAAATCATTGGGTTTCTCAGGGGATTAGGTTTTCTCATTTTTGCGGAAGAAATGTGGAGCTGCTATGGAAGAACCTAGGGTTGAGAGGCGGGTTGATTGTGAAACATGTAACAAAGCCCTTTTCTGCTGACAAAGCTCTGGTTAGGTCTTTGGTTCCGTTGTGGGAAGAAGGGTTGCTTTTAATCAGGTGCTCTATTTTTTTTGCCGTGATATCTGGGGTGTGCTTATTGGTTTGGTATGGGAAGGCAAAAGCCAAGACTTTTGTCGAAGCGAAGCTTTTACCTTCTGTTTGTTCGGTTCTGAGTGAGTATATTCAGCGCGAGCTTGATTTTGGTAAGGTTCGGCAAATTTCACCTTTGAGCATTACCTTGGAGTCTTGTTCAATTGGGCCTCATAATGAAGAGTTCTCTTGCGGGGAGGTCCCTACTGTAAAACTACAAGTTCTTCCATTTGCAAGTCTGAGGCGGGGGAAGATTGTGATTGATGCAGTTTTGTCTAATCCAAGTTTGTTGGTTGTGCAAAAGAAGAATTATACCTGGCTAGGAATACCTTCTACTGACGGTAGTCTACAGAGGCACTTGTCAAGTGAAGAAGGAATTGATCATTGTACGAAAATTAGGAGGATTGCTAGAGAGGAAACAGCTGCTCGGTTTGATAAAGAGAGAGATGACGCAGCTAAGGAAGCTGCAGACATGGGTTACATTCTTTCTGAGAAAGGATCTCATACATTTGAGATTGATGTGCCGAAGGACTATGCTAGTCGTCTATCAGGATTAGCAACCTCTGAATCATTCTTCTCTATGGACGAGCGACTGCACTGGCGAGATGATCACTGCATGGATACAGGTATTGAGTATGATTTGAAGCATGCAGATTTAGAGAAAGCATTTGGTGTAAAAATTCCTGGTTCGGGGGATAAATTTTGGTCTAGATTTATACCAGGGCCTATAAGATATAAATTCAAGAGGAAAGCTAATGGGCGGGATAGATCTGTCACTGGTGTCGCAGCCAAAAGAAGAATTATTGAGCGCAGTGCATCAGCAGCACGTTCTTACTTCCTGGGTCTATCACATGGGAGGTTTGGCGATTCTAATCAGTCATCTGGAGATTATGATGTTCTGAATACTGAGACTCCTGTGGTGAAAAGTGAGGTTGATACTAGTGCCCGACCTTCAGTAAGTAGTTATGAAGAACATATAACAACTGCTTATCAGGATGGGGCAGTTAACTTTGGAGGAGTGAAGAATCCTGAGCATGGAAAAGTTGAAGCTGCTAATGATTATTTGACTATTGGGGGAAAGTCAAGATTGGAGGACAAAACAAAAGTTGGTCCTAAATATGAAGAAAAATCTGGAATCCAGCCTTTTCCAGGTGAATATCATATTAATAGTCTCAGTGTTTTACGCGATCCATTTCTTATGACTGTAGGTAGATTGCTACGAATTAGAAATTCCAATGACAAATTTTCATCTATTCCTGGTGTCATGGGATTGGCAAAAACTAATGGTTCAGATGTACATGACGGAGATTTAGGAGCTGATGGCATAACTAGACATGTGAATATGCCAGATGAATCCAGCAGATTGGAAGACCAGACGTTGAAGTCTATCGACAACGTTTCAGACGGTCAAAGGGGGCATAGATCTCAGAGTTCAACATTATTAAATTTTGAGCCTTTGCTTGCAATGCACCATTCTATCCCCATTTGGCTCTCTAGCCTGAAGTTAGGATTGCCTTCTTCACATAGAAACTTGGGGAAGCTGTGGTCTTACTATCTTGCCGGTCCTGTTCAAAAGCTAAAGTTAGATATGAGTCCAAAGGTTGAAGATATCATTGCAGAACTTGTCAACGGGGCAGATGAGATGCAGACATCAGGCATTGAGAAAATGCTTCCAGTTACTCTGGATTCTGTTCATTTCAAAGACGGAACACTAATGCTACTTGCTTATGGTGACAAGGAGCCCAGGTAAAGTTCCGTTTTCTCACAGCTCCCTCTCACTCGTTAAATAGACTTTACTTCTGTTTTGTTTTTACTAGTTTTGACTGAAAGATTATACGAAAGGCTTAAAATTATAGAATTGTTCATTAATGGGACATGGGAGTTCTTGTTCAAGTGTGAGCACTGTCCAGTCTTCTTGGAAACCCAACCCAGACTGGCAAGATCAGTGTTGGCTGGGTGAAGACCATTCGTGAAATGGATAAGGTGGTTAACAGTTTGGATATCAGAGCCTATCTGTGCATTATGTGATGCAAAAAATAGAGAAAATCTCTTCAAATAATTCCTAAAAAGATTTCATGTGAACATAATATTTTCAAGCAAAAGAAATTGCTTTGGTTCAATTGTGTATAGAGAAATACTTTTTCCCATTTATTTTTATAGTTTTTGTTTTATTTAAAATTTATAAACTTTAAAATTCTTTCTTGTCTATGATTTTGGTGATTCAACTGGTGGCAGTGGGCCAGTTCAGAGCACTGATTTACCCTTTTCTTCTTGTTCATTGTAATTTTAGAGTTTAGTATATCGGTAATGTGTATTTGAGGTTCTTCGTGTGACATTCTTTTCTTAATATACATGAACTACATATTTTTTCTTACTCATGCACCGGACTTCTGAGGATATTTACTAAGCAATAATAGGACCTGACATGCTCCCATAAGTATCATATAGTAGGGTTGATAAGAGACAGGTCATAAGATTATTATTATTTTTTGGGTGGGGGGTGTTGATTGTATTATTTGTGCTGTTTTTTTGGGTGATTTGGTTAGAGAAATTCAAGGAATTTCAAGAATAAATTAGAAGAATTAGAAGGATTATGGGATAAAATTTGTTATTCTTTTTTTTTTGGGTTTTAGTTTCATCTCCTTTTAGGGGGATCCCTTTATTTTTTGTTTCTAGAGATTAGATAGCGGTTTGTGATATGCAATTTTGGTTTTATCCTTCCTTTTATTTTCTGGTGTTCTTCTTGCTCTTCATTACATGGTTTTGTACTTTTTTTTTCCTTTAATAAATTTTTTCTTTCATGTCTAAAAAAAGACTTGATTACTCCACAAGCTTCATCTCGTTGCTTACATCTACAATAAGTAGCTTTACTGCTGTTCTTTAACCACTATGGTATCTGTTTTATCATCAAAAGTAAGTTTAAGTTGGTTTCTGCCCTTGCCATCTTACATGAATCTTTAATTGTCTGTTGGTATCAATTTGCGGATTCATAATTATACGTTATCTGCTAGAAGATGCATTTTATTTGCATTATGACACATTTATGTTCTTTTATACAACTTTAATAGGGAGATGCACAATGTCAATGGTCATGTAAAGTTTCAAAATCACTATGGTCGTGTGCATGTACAACTGAGTGGAAACTGTAGTATGTGGAGATCAGAAGTTATGTCAGAAGATGGTGGCTGGTTGTCTACTGACGTTTTTGTTGATATTGTTGAGCAGAAATGGCATGCCAATTTGAAAGTTGTGAATATATTTGCCCCGGTAAGGTATATAGTGTATACTTAGTTATAAATTTTGGAAACTAATATGAAAGTCTTTGAAGCCTTCTTTTTTGAATTAAAAACTGCAAAGGATGTACTGGTGTAGCCTGAGTTGTGTGATTGTTATACGTCTTGCTTCCTTTCTGAATTTTCTGATAAGTTTCCTTTTTTACTTTCCTGCAGATCTTTGAAAGGATTTTAGAAATTCCAATCTTGTGGTCTAAAGGGAGAGCTTCTGGTGAGGTGCTTCTCTAACTTTATTAGTTCATTTCTTTTCACAGCATTTTATCAGAATATATCTCACATGAGCACTTTGAGGGTGACCATTGATGACATTCCTGTTCAACCTCTTATATAACTTGCATGCCATTCAAATGTCAAAAGCTGCAGTGAACCTGATCTTTGCATTTTGGTTATGAATTTCTAACTCTTTGGACTGCCTTATGGAGTGATTTCTTGTTGAATTTTAGAAAGTTCTTGTTTGCTTCTGATCTGATTTCTAGAATTTCACTAATTAATATAGATGCAAGTGGTTGAGTTTCCATAATAATGATATCAATTTTAGTCCTTAGGCCCTAACAAGGTATGATTGTTTTTTTTTTTTGATAAATAAAGTTAATTATTAAAAAGCATCCAAAAGGTGCAAAGAATTCAAAAACTACAGCCCACAGCAGGCCAGAAGGCTAAGAAAACTAAGAAATCAAATCATCCACAAAATCTACAAAGGCCAACACATCCGGAACCACCGATACTGTAACCCAATGATTTTTTTTTTCTTTTTCTTTTTCTCTTCACATTTTTAGTTCTATATAATGTTGTTCATAATTATTGCATGGGATGGAACAACACATCTGTGTAATGGATACCAAATGTGAGGGGATTCGCTATTCAAAGTGGAATTGATTCGCAACAATTCTTTCATATTTCATATAAAAAAATACAGATACGGATTTGGTTAGTGGAACTACTTGGTGTTGCATATTAGAACTCATTAAAGCCTGATTCGCATCATTATGCTTGACAAAAGGAATGAGGGAAGCTTCAACCTAAAATATTGGAGGGGAAAATACTTCGAAGATGAGAATTTGTACATGTAATGCTTGATGCTATTTTCCAAAAGATAGTCTTGTAATCCGTCTTGGATTCAATTTGGGATTAGATCAAATCTGTTAGGAACTTTGACCGGACTAACTCTACTTGAAGGATGAGCATAATATGGATCATAGCAACTCATGACGATATAGTTCAAGGGAAGAACAAAAAAAATTATTTTTTCAATCAAAGCATGCAGCAAGCAAGAAGCACAAACTCATGGACCTCTTGCAAATTTTACAAATCCTTCAATGAATAAAAATATTAATCACAATTTTTATGGGAGAATACATACCTTATTTATTATATATATATGCTTGGTTTTGGGCTGTTTAGAAATGTGGTGGTTGCTTTTGGGTTGTTGTGGAGGGTGACTGGCTTGTGCTCAATCAGCTTTTGTGTTTAAAAGTTGGGTCAGATTTGAGTTGATATTTGGGCTCGTTGTTGTGGGTTGATTTAGGTATATGTGGGCTGGTATGTTTTGGGAATATTGGGTTGGGCAACTTATAATTAGGTTTGGTTTTGAGATAGTAATTGTTGGATGGTCTAATTGGGGTAAAGAATTAATTTGGACTGGTTGTTGAGTGCGGTTTGGGTCTAATTTAATTGGGCTTTTGTTGACTGTGATGTGGATTTTAGTTTAAACTGGATTTGGTTTCAGTTAAAAATTTGGGGCGGGTTTAATGAAGTGGTTGGTGGCTTAGGTCAGTAGGGATGGCAATGGGGCAGGGTAGCGGTGGCAACAATGGGGCAGGAGTTGTGCAGGGATGGATTAATTTTGTAACTTTAGGAATGGAAGTACTAATAAAATTGAGAATTAATATGGTATATTACAGAAATAAATTTATAAGTGATGAGAGTTATACATGTAAGATGAGAAATAAAGAAGTCAAAATGAATGTCAATTGTAAAATTGTAATGTTTTAGTCTTTTTATATTAAAAAGTTTAACTATATATATTATATATGCATAAATATATTTAATAATATAATTGGGGTTTCGGCGGGGTAAAACAGGTTGGGAGTAGGAAAACCCGTCGCCGCCCCGCTTCCTCATCAAGGGTGGAGAAAACCTACACGGAGCGGCGAATGCGGGAGGAAATTCCTTCCCTACCGGTCAAGTTTAACTTTTTAATCCATCACATTATCTTATCCCGTAGAACAACAGACAAGTTTGGCGGCAATCGAAGAAGCCCCATCTTCCATTGCAACAAACTCTAGCTAAGACACGAGTGAACATGCAACAATCAAGTGTTGTGATCTCTGGCATGCAAGGCAAATATTTTGGTGGCAGTGAATAGACTATGGCTTTCCCTGATGGCAAGGTCTGGCTGAAAATGGCTGCTCAAAGGTCAGTGAAGTGATTTGCAAAGGTGGTAGTGACATGAATATTCTAGCAAATCTCGTCAATGACAAACAAGACAACTAGTGAGGGTGGTTCAGTGCCGATCAGTCTCCTCTGTTCATGGATCTTTCTTTTTTTTCTTTTTTTTTTGTTTCTCTCTCACTCTCTTTTGCGGTATAAGAGGCAAGCATGCCAACGACAGAAGTAATGCGTTGATATAGGTGATGGTGAAGATAGTTTGAATTGATGTGGTTATATCAAGAAGGCAACCACTCTATTGAACTTAGACGGTGGGTCAAAATGGGCTTTGATACCAAAATTGGGGTAGAACCAAGAGAGCAAAAATAGAAGGAATAAACTACGGAATCACAATCCCAAGACAAATATCTCAATTATTAATAGTCAAATCATCTCATAGTCTAGTGTAGTCTCCTAAAACATTACATAAAAGCCAATACATAAGCATCTTAAGGAACCCTAATTAAATTAAACTTACCAAAACTAAACACTACAATGATTAAATCCTTATAAAAATAAAGCCTAATAAATTAATAAAATCCAATAAATATGAAATAATGCCAAAATAAATCACTTAGTATTTTTATCCAATGCCTCTCCGATCCCCACCAGTTGGGCTTTAGGATATAGATAATTTTGCCTGTTGTCGACAGTTCTTGGACCTATGAAGATAGAGGTAATTTTCACGTTCAATATGCATGAATTAACTTTCTCTAATATCAGAGTTACACCAATCTACCAAAAATCAAGTCTTTAGTATGATTACATTAATGCATTGTTTTATGGAGTATACAAATTCTATATTAGGAGAGGTTCACCAGTATTTATAAAAAATTGTTCCATTGAGTTCCTAGGATTGTAATTTTAGAATTTGTTTTTATTGAAGATTTAAGTATTTAGAGCTTAAATCATGCATCTTCAATTCTGCGCATAAATGTTTTTATTTATTTTTATTTTTATTTTTATAAGCACTTTCTTCACACAAGTTGGTATTGTTGATTGCTTTATACACCCTCCGTCCCATTTTGTTGGTCCATCTTTTCATTTTAGTCCATTCCAAAATATTTGTCTACTTTCTATTTTGGGATACTAAATTTTGTTTGATTCCCAAAATTGCCCACTATAAATTATTATAAACACATTTTAAAATTCAAATAGAAGGGCAATGGTGGGAAAAACATTTCAAAATTTGAATTAAAATGTAATGATTGCATGTCTCCTTAATAAGTTGGATTTTCTATAATGGACAAACAAACTGGGACGGAGGGAGTATTTGTTTCTCTTTTCAGCTAAGCAACTTGACAAAACCTTTTCCAAATTACTGGGGGTTGGTTGGCTATTATATTTATTTTTATTGCAAATTTGCCCTCTGCTACATGGTGAGATACCATGATTTATTATTCTTAATTGTATATTATGTGTCTATTTACAGGTCCACATATGTATGTCGAGAGGAGAAACCTTTCCTAATCTTCATGGGCAGCTTGATGTCACGGGGTTGGCCTTTCAAATATATGATGCTCCATCATGGTTTTCTGTATGTCTGGGTCTCATAAGTTGTAATTCACTCTTTTTCCCTTGGAGTTCTCTCTTTTAGTGTAGCATTTATTTATCTTGTTTCTAATTAGGAAAAAATTCTTCCTTACTAGATAGAATATAACAATCGATGTTATCTCATCTCTCTGTATATGATGCAGTGACCATCTTTCATCTACATCTAGATCTCTTATCTCATAACATGTTAGGATTATTCTACCAAATTAAATTCCAAGTAGGACTATTTGGAAATTGGGTTTCCTACCAAAATAGTTTTCTTTCTTTGTACAATAGCTTGGATGCAAAATTCAGTATTAACTAATAATAACTTGGGAAGGAGCGGTTCTTTTTTTTTGTAACCGGTTTATATGCAAATGGGTGGAGTCACTTGATCACCTATTCATTCATCGATGTAGCTAGAAAATTGTGAAGCGTATTGTTTTCTATGTTTGGTGTGAGTTGGGTGATATTGGCTTTTGTGCTTCAACTTTACGAATGTTGCGCTCATGGGTGTTATGTGAAGAGGGCAAAAAAGGCTTCAGGGTGGCTTCCATATGCTTAATGTGGTGCCCTTTGGAGAGAAAGAAATTATAGACTTTTTAGGATGTATATAGAGACTTAAAAGCTAGCTTTACTTTGATCTTTTCATTTTTGGTTGAAGGACGAGTTTTGTCATACTTTCTTATTTTTGGCGGGTTTATAGGAGAGTTCAGTTTTAGGTGGGCTTACAATGTTTGTTTCTTGTAATAATTTTCTTTTTGAGAAGGTATTTATAAAATTGAGGAGCAGAGGAATATGGAAGTTTAGGATTAGAGGAATATGGTGGCCTTGATGGAATTAGAGAATACAAGTTTTATTGTTGAATAAGGAAGTTTGAGGTGGAAATTGCTGACGGGCTGTAATTATAATTAGATCACTTGCAGGAGAAACAAGTAAGTTTCCAATCATTGTAGGATTATACCAAGAGTCAGCCTTTAGCCCTTATCTATCCTAGTCATGTATGAATTGATGAGACACATTCGGGATGATGTCATCTAGTTTATATTGTTTGCAAATGATATTGTCTCAATGGATGAAACTAAAAAAGGAATTAAAAAAGAGAAGCATTTGAGTTTGGTATTTTTGTGTTTTTTGTAAGAAATAATGTATAGAGAAAGAGAGAGAATAAATTGTATGTATTATTATTGATTGATATTTTGATTATTATTACAATGATTCATGATTCCTATATATAGAAGAGGGTGAGTGTGTAGTAGGTAAGGAGTAGGTGAAGTGGAGGTGGTAGTGGTGTAGTGGGTTAGGTTTAGTGGAGTAGGTTTAAGTGGGTGAAGTAGGTGGAGAGTAGGTGGATTTTAACATTTTTCCTGTTTCTCTTGTTTGGTTTTTCCATTTCTCTTGTAAGAGGATGCCTTATCCTCTTTTTTCTTGGCCTTGAGCCTTAATAAATCTTTGTTTGTTGCTAAAAAAAAAAAAAAAAAAAAAAAAAAAAGGGAAGCATTTGTGTCAAAATAGTTTAAAACAAAATAGGATTAGAACTGAATATGTGGAATGTAACTTTAACAACTGAAGTAGAAATAACGGAGGAAGTATAAGGTTAAAAGTCAGGAAATTCCAGAAAGTGAACAATTTTGTTATCGATTATTGATGAGGATGGAGAAGTTGGAGATGATGTGGCCCATAGATCAAACTAGGTTTGCTTAGGTGTAGGGATGTTTTTGGCATATTATGCAGTTGATGGATATCAACAAAAATGAAGGAAATTTTTTATAGAACATTTATAAGGCCAACGATAGCACATTTATAAAATGAGTGTAGCTATATGAGTATGTCAATATTAATGTGTGCAAAGACCAGATAAGATAGAATAAAAAATGAATACATTCATAAAATGGCAAGAATAACATTAATTGAAGATAAGTTGAGAGAGAGAGAGAGAGAGAGAGAGAGAGAGAGAGAGAACATACTAAAATGTAGATTCAACAGTAAAGGAATAGTGATATGATCACTGTCAATGGAAATTTTAGGGGGAGGGGAAGACCTAAATTGACATGGGATGGGATATTTTAGTAAATAAAAAGTGATATGAATTAGTTTATTTTGATTGAGCATATAGTCCTTAACAGAGCCAAATGACGGAAAAGGATTTATGTAGCTGATCTCTATTGATTGGAACACAAGGCCTTAGTTTGGTTTTTATTTTCTTTTCGTTCCCAATGATGTACAAGGTTGATGCTCACTGGTGTCCTTTTAATACTATTTCATACTCGTAGAAAAAAAAACCTATGTTAATGAATTTTGCTGATGGTGTAATTGTAAGAAATAATGTATAGAGAAAGAGAGAAAATAAATTGTATGTATTATTATTGATTGATGTATATTGTAGTTTATTACAATGATTCATGATTCCTATATATAGAAGAGGGTGAGTGTGTAGTAGGTAAGGAGTAGGTGAAGTGGAGGTGGTAGTGGTGTAGTGGGTTAGGTTTAGTGGAGTAGGTGAGGTGGTAGTGGTGTAGTGGGTTAGGTTTAGTGGAGTAGAGTAGGTGGAGAGTAGGTGGATTTTAACAGCCCCCCGCAAACTCAAGGGGGATAGGAACTAACCAACTTGAGTTTGGAGAGAGTAACAAAACAAGAAAATACATAAAAATAAAAGAGGATAAGAGACACTGTATGGTCGTGTCAGACCATTGGTGAAGACACTGGATGCTGGTGTCATAACGTTGTAGAGGACACTGTATAGGGGTGTCATAACGGTGTAGAGGACACTGGATGGCGGTGTCAGACCGATGTAGAAGACAGTTTATGGGGTCATGTCGGACCGATGTATTATAAAATGAGTGTAGCTATATGAGTATGTCAATATTAATGTGTGCAAAGACCAGATAAGATAGAATAAAAAATGAATACATTCATAAAATGGCAAGAATAACATTAATTGAAGATAAGTTGAGAGAGAGAGAGAGAGAGAGAGAGAGAGAGAGAGAGAACATACTAAAATGTAGATTCAACAGTAAGGGAATAGTGATATGATCACTGTTAATGGAAATTTTAGGGGGAGGGGAAGACCTAAATTGACATGGGATGGGATATTTTAGTAAATAAAAAGTGATATGAATTAGTTTATTTTGATTGAGCATATAGTCCTTAATAGAGCCAAATGACGGAAAAGGATTTATGTAGCTGATCTCTATTGATTGGAACACAAGGCCTTAGTTTGGTTTTTATTTTCTTTTTGTTCCCAATGATGTACAAGGTTGATGCTCACTGGTGTCCTTTTAATACTATTTCATACTCGTAGGAAAAAAAAACCTATGTTAATGAATTTTGCTGATGGTGTAATTTTTCTATGAACATTATAGTCCTCATATCTAATTCAAATGGTCAGCCCTTCATTGTTTGAGGCTTTGAGCATTCCTTAAGCTGATGCTATGTTTTTCTTTTCTTAATAATTTGTTTTCTTGCTATGCTCCAATTATGTGCTACTTCTCTCATGATTTTTCCAAGCAAACATTTATGCATCTTTCAGCTTGTGCCCAGACCAAGATAACCATTGAGTAATTTTGTAGCCATTTGGGAAGTTTTACTGGATATCATGCTTGCGTTTTCCGTAGGATGTGTCTGCCAGTTTATGTTTCCGTGGTCAGCGTATATTTTTACACAATGCAAGTGGCTGGTTTGGCAATGTTCCTTTAGAAGCTTCTGGAGATTTTGGCATTAATCCGGAGGAAGGAGAGTTTCATCTTATGTGTCAGGTATAGTCTTTTCAAATAGGCTTGGGTTGGTTCTTTTTGCTATTCAGAATCAACATCAGTCCATTTAATTTGATATGAACTTCTCATGTTTCTTGAGTTGAAGTGGTGCATTTTGAAACTTTGTTACCTGTAGACTCCATCTTAGAAGTAGACAAATTAAAGAAAAGAAATTTCTTCATGCAACAGTATGTTTGTGTGCGCCCATGTATGTGCATGAAATTATATTTGATCTCCTACTGTGCTTATGCACAGTTTCACAAAGGAGTTTTGCTATACTGGGGGGTGTTATATGACTAAATTCTTTCACAGAAATAGAATTATACCATATTAAATAAGACCTCCCAGCTTGAAGTGGCTGCTTGAAGCATGGTCAATAGTGTGGAACTGAGTACATGAAATGAAATGTGAGATGAAAGCAAGAATTATGTAAGTGCTAGGGAGCATTAGATTCTATTACAGGAAACATGGTTTGGAACATGGGACAAAGAACAAGAAAAGTGAGAGTCGACTGGATGTGTTGGAAGGTTCATTAACTATGGCTTTAAGCGGTGTTTTATTTCTACTTATTCCTTTAGTACTTTAATTTTTTGTGGCTTAGTATGGTAGTTGTGTGATTATTCTTTATTTGATTTTTTGGTGGTATTTAATGGATGTGTCATCATTTTTATTCCAGGTTCCTTGTGTTGAAGTAAATGCCCTGATGAAAACGTTTAAGATGAGGCCATTGTTGTTCCCGGTATGTTTATCTTTTGTTTATTGCCTGATTTCACATTAATCTTATGATCTTTATGTGTCTATACTCACACACACACACACACACACACATATATATATATGTTTAAATTCAATTCCCCTTGCAGAGCATTAGACACCTTGGTATCATCTGTTGGGGTTTTATGTAGACCTTTACCAATCTGTTGGAATTTCATTTGATGCAAGCACAAATCTTACATGAGCAAAGAATATGAAACAAACAACGTGAATTTATTGACATTCCTTGGGCATCATGGCCTATTGATGCAACAACCAAAATTGCAATCGAGGATCAAATCAAGAGAAAGAGAGAAGAAACCCTTCCCTAGGGCTAACCCTAGGTTAGAGAGTAAAAACCAACACTTTGCTCTAATTACTATCTATAGTCTTCAATTAAAAATTTCTTCCCTAGGGCTAACCCTAGGTTAGATAGAGAAAAGCAGAGCACTTTGCTCTAATCATATCTATATTCTTCAATTAAAAACAAAGTACAATGACCCCTACATCATCTATTTATAGACTAAGGCCACTAACAATTATAACTAATTGGACACTTAAAAGACAAACCTAATGACACCTACTCATGAGATTCATTTTTTTTTTTTCAAAGATGTTTATTTTATTACATCACCAATAAAGCTTAATTAATCTTGAACCTTCTGAGAATTCTAGCTCCTTGCTGAGAGATCTGAATCCATGAGAGGAGCATGCCAAGTTTTCTATTTGGTTTACCATTTTTGTACTTTCTTCGGAAACATGTGTGAAGGAGCGGTATCCTAGTCACGGGCAAGATGTTTACTTTCGAAGGTCAAAACCTAGTCACTACTGGCATGGCAACCTAAGGAGGAACTATGATGGGCAAATGTGTTGTACATTGGTGTTCTATGTATGGAGGCGAGGAAAATGCTGATCATCGATTTGCTTTATTGTGGGTTTCAATGTTGTTGTGGTGGCTTCTCTTGTGTGTTTTTGTGATTGCTTGGGGACAGTCAGAGATTCATGGGATTGGGTTTGTGAGGGAGGCATGGTTGATGGCCTCCCTGTGCCAAATGTGGAGAATTTGCTTTCTTTTGAAAGAGTAGAGCTCCTATTCACAGGTTGAGGAGTCTGATACTTAATTCCTTGTTTTGTTGGCTGTATTATAATATTATTCCTTTCATGGTTCTGTTGACTTTTTTGTTTGTTTTATTTTTGGTTCAGTTTTTGGACATTCTTCCTTTGTGTAGATAGATTTAAGGGTCTAAGTACTTGGGTAGTTCTTTTTTTTTTTCGGGCAGCCTTCAATATATTGCAGATACTTGGTCGGCCCACTTTTGGCAACCTCAATATGTTTTTACAGTTTTACTTATCAATAAACAATTGACTCTGAGTCTACCTCTTCTAAAGCATTCCAAGATCCTCAGTAAGAAAATACAGAGCCAATAATAAATAGATTGCATTTTGTCCTCAGGCCTTGGTTGAGAACTTGGCTATTTTAGTTGGTTTTTTGGCTATTTTATGAGATGAAAAAAAGTTGTGTTTGGGATGATTTGTGAATTTTTTTGTAGTTGAATAGATGGTTATGAGAGAAAAAATAATTGATGTGTAGGATGTGACATTTTATTGGCTATTTTAATCTTTTTTGTCTTTATTGGCTATTTGAGCCAAAACCTTAGCTGCCAAAGGCCAAGTAGCCATCACTATTTCAAAAAATACCTCCAATTCTATTAGAGAAGGGATGCTATTTGCGAATGTTCAGGACTATTTTACATATTTGTAATGTTTGTTTTTCAAAGATTTCTAGACATGAGTTTTTCCTAGTCTTTCTTCATATTATTCAGTTCTCTTTCTTCATTCACTGCAGTTGGCTGGTTCAGTAACTGCAGTATTTAATTGTCAAGGTCCCTTGGATGCTCCTGTATTTGTGGGAAGTGGATTGGTTTCAAGGAAGATAGCACATTCACTTTCTGATTTTCCTGCTTCATCTGCATCTGAGGCAATGATGAATAATAAAGATGCTGGTGCGGTTGCAGCAGTTGACCGTATCCCATTTTCATATATTTCAGCCAATTTCACTTTCAACTCTGATAATTGTGTAAGTTCTAGATAATTTGTGTGCATGTTAAATTAAAGTGTGTGTCTTTTTTTGTTTCAAATTTGTATATATATATTGGCAATTTACTCTGTTTGTGACAGGTTGCTGACTTGTATGGAATCAGAGCTAGTCTTGTTGATGGTGGAGAAATTCGTGGGGCTGGGAATGCATGGGTTTGCCCCGAGGTACTTTATTGAATGTGAAATAATCTCTCTTGCTAGGTTTGCACTTAATGCATTCATTTGTTTTTTTCCCATTCTTGATTTATGTTTACTTCTTTTCATCTGAGAGCTCGTCTTTGAGGGAAAGTGAGTACAGCGGATTAGTAGATTGTAATTGTGAGTTATTATCTGTTGGAATACCTTGCCCCAATAACTTGTGGTTACACATTCCTTTTCCTCCAAATCCATATCTTCAGCTAAGGTATGAATTGGTACTAGATTATATATAGACAGCCATTACCAAACATTTATCCTATAATTCAGGATGCGGGGTGGACTGGATACAGACCAATTTTGACCTGCAGGTGTGGCCCTTGGCTCTACCCAAGCTGAACTTGACTTGGGTTTGCATTATCTTTCCCTTTTTGGCTCTACCCAATTTTCCCAACAAGAGTTGGACAGGGCTCACCCATTACTGATCCATAATTCTGAAGAAATTTATAAATAGTTGCAATTGTGCACATGTGCACCCACACCTACAAAGGAGAACACACTCACAGAGATTCAAGCTATATTTACTGGTGCAAATGGGCCATTTTGGATTTGATGATTTAGAAATTTCTAAATTCTAGCATGTACTTGTGCTAACAATCATATATGATCTACAACATGACTACATGTTTCAATTGTTACCTCTTGTGAAGTTTTGTTGCATTACCTTTCCCTTGATCTTACTAAGGTGATTGATAGGGAATTTGGTATGCTATAGCCAATACACTTGGTCTTAACATTGCCAAACCTTTCTTCTCTTTATAGGGTGTGACCTTATTTGATTTATGGTCTTATAGAATATAGAGCTAAAGATTCCATGGCAGCAATGTCTTTATGCAGGCCATAGACTGACATCTGTTATGTGTTAGGTTTGGTCTTTCTTTTGATTATTAATTGTGGAATTGGACCATAATCTTGAGAGTTGTTAATGAGCTTATAATACATACATATCTTTCTAATTTTTTTTCTTAGTTATCTTTCTCAGTTATGATGTTGAAAATCATTATTTTTGTAGGGTGAGGTGGATGAGACAGCAATGGATATGAACTTCTCGGGGAATTTATGCTTTGATAATATTGTGCAACGATATTTACCTGGTTCTTTCCAGTTAATGCCTTTCAAATTGGGATATTTAAATGGAGAAACAAAAGTTTCTGGATCCCTATTGAAACCGTAAGTTCCAAGTCCTGTTTTTCTAATTGTTGATAAAATCACTGATTTAATTGCAAATTGATTATATATGAGGTGGGGTTTTATGCCATAATTTTCAATTGCAGGAGGTTTGACATTAAATGGACTGCACCAAAAGCTGAAGGGTCATTCAGCGAAGCCCGAGGAGATATAATCATCTCTCACGATTACATTACTGTTGATTCTTCATCAGTTGCTTTTGAATTGTTTGCAAAAGTTCAAACATCTTATCCTGATGAATATTGGATAAACAGAAAAGAGTATGATGCGAAAGGTGCAATTCCCATAATTGTAGAAGGAGTGGAATTGGATTTACGTATGCGCAGTTTTGAATTTTTCAGCTTAGTTTCTTCTTATCCTTTTGATTCTCTAAGGCCTATACATTTGAAAGCTACTGGAAGAATCAAGTTTCAAGGGAATGTTGTTAAGCCTTTTGACATTATTGATGAGCAATTCTGTTGTTCTGAAAAGAAAATGGAGGATATGCAAATAAAAGATAATGGAGATACACATAGTCTTGTTGGGCAGGTGTCAATCTCTGGTCTTAAACTGAATCAGTTGACGCTTGCACCTCAGTTGGTTGGATCGTTGAGCATCTCACGTAAATGTATCAAGGTTTGCCTTACAACTTCTGTGAATATCTGTAAATAAATTGCTCTTTTGGAGTGTACTTGAGATATTATTTTAATTTATTTTTTGATCAACATACATGGCATCAGAAAGCACCAGTTTACATGGGTTTTCTACTTTTTGTTTAGATTCTCTAGATTTCATAAAATCCAGAGAGAACAAATCAATATATCAAAAAAGATTCGGAAAAAAAAGAAGGGAAAAAGCCAATAAGCAATTGGATCCAAAATAGGGTTTCTAAGTCAGCTTTTCATACTTATGTGGACTTTGATCCCTTGTTTTATAATGTTTAAGATCGTTGGTCTTCAAGAATCTGAAATGGGAAAGAGAGGTGAACAATGAGGTTTTGAACCAACCTTTGGTAATTTGCATCCTAACAGGTGCAATAGTGGCTGCACCGCCTCTATGGCTATGAATCAGCATGACTCTGATGTAGTAGCCCACAGTGGTATTGTTTTATGATATGCATTATGGAAATGGGATTTCCATTGGATGATTTAGCTGGGGACCAGTTGATACATGTGGTGTCTAGTTGATCTGATTTTGATCATATATGTATACATATATTGTGTTGCACAGCTAAGTTTTGAATGCAGTGGTCACCTATCATTGTGCATCTGCTTTTTTATGCTCAAGCAGTGATTTTTATTTTTATAAATTATAAGTAAATATGTACATTTCAATTAATCAAAAAGAGTGGTTTTTCTTGTTACGTGGCGATGCAGCTGGATGCCACTGGTAGGCCAGATGAGAGTCTTGCTGTGGAGGTTTTAGGAGCATTACAGCCTAATGTTGGAGAAAACTTAAATGGAAAAGTTTTGTCCTTTTCTCTTCAAAAGGGTCACCTAAGGGCTAATGTTTGCTACCGACCACTACATTCAGCTAACTTGGAGGTTCTTACTGTCTCATCCATGATCTAATAGCAAAGTTAGTCTTTGTTTCTCTATTTTGACTCTTGAATGGTCTTATTTTGTGAGTTTTTTTTTTTTGGTCTTCTTTTCATATGCATTTAGGTACGCCATTTACCACTTGATGAATTGGAGCTGGCTTCGCTTCGAGGAGCATTACAAAGAGTAAGCTGTCATATTGGCCTGCTTGACTTTATTGTTGAAAGATTACCTTGGTATCTTCCATATGAAGCTCTCGTTCCCATGTATGATAATCTCATTGGATAGTAGAAAACAAATAGACATAATACAGTAAAAAGCATGAACAAAACCAAAGAAATACATAAATAAAGATGCGTTATTGTATTGAAAGTGGTGTGAATGATTGTTAGATTAGATTGCTCCCACTTGTGTGAGCTTTGAAATTTTTTTTTTGCTCTCCGGCACAAACACTAGTGCAGTACTTTATTACTTGATCAAATTATTCATATATTTGATTAGTGTTGGACAATCTTTTTGTTTTTGTTTTTGTTTTTTGTTGATAAATAAGCAAATATGATTAAGAAAGCATCAAAATGATGCAACGAATACAAAATGACATCCCCAATTAGGGGAAACCAAAAACAGACTAATCAATCACTTCATCTAGAAAATCTAAAAAAACAAACATGCCCGGATCAACCTTCATCTCCAACCAACTATACAAAACTATAAAATGGCGATTTTCTAACCAAGCAACCCCATGAGAAACTTCTAAGAAAGTACGTTTATTCCGCTCCATCCAAACAAGCCACATCAAACAGAATGGCCCCATCAACCACACCCGCCGGCGTTGACACCCAATCCAAACACCCCGTCACACCCAAAGCATATCCAACACCCCCTTCGGTTGGACCCAAGCAATCCCAAAGAGAGCAAATGAAACCCTACAACCGTGAAGCCGCCGAACAATGAAGAAACAAATGATCCATTGACTCGGCATTAGCACAGCACATGTAGCATCGATTCACTAAAACATGCCCACGCCACATCAAGTTGTGCAAAGTGAGATTTCGTCCTGAAGCTGCTGTCCACATGAAGAACGCCACCTTAGATGGAAAGCCCGGCACCCAAACACTTTCCCAAGGAAAAGCTTCTCCACCATCCCCCACCAAAACCCAATATAATGATGCAACTGTGAACTGCCCCTTTGCACCCACCCCATTCCACACCATAACATCTTGTCCCACCCCAGTAATCCCCAACCCGTATAAAAAAAACCCCACAACTCCACCAACTGAGCAACCTCCCAATCTTGCACCTCTCGCCGTAACTGAATATCCCAAACCACCACATCCCCACCCCCTAAATAAGATGCCACCATCGCCTCCCGATCAACCATAATATTAAAAATCAAAGGAAAACTGGCCTCCAGTGACTCCCCACCACACGACCTATCCTTCCAAAATCTCACCCTCAACTCATCTCCCACCTTGAACCCTACCCACTTCCAAAATTCATCCCTCCCTAAGCCAAATCCCTTTAGTTGAAGTGTAAAAGCATGAAAAACTTTGATTAGGGCTAGAGAGAAAGAGAGAAGTTCCTTTCATAAACCTAAAACATCAACAAATATATAGAATACAATATGACCATAGTACCCTCACTCAAACACAAAAAATAACATATATCACTATATATTCTAACACTCTTCCTCAAGTTGGAGCAAAGAGATCGAACATGCCCAGCTTGGCAGAGAGACGCTGAAACGAAGAGCGAGCAAGTGGTTTGGTGAAGATATCACCCAATTGATCATCAAAGTGAACATATGGTGTCACAAGTTGCTGACGCAACAGCAACTCCTGTATAAAAATGACAGTCAACTTTAATATGTTTCGTACACTCATGAAACATGGGGTTATTGGCAATAAAAATAGCAGCTTGATTATCATAGGTCATGCTCATAGGAGTAGGAACACGGATACCAAAATCCTATAGAAGATAATAAACCCATAACATCTTAGAGGCGGTATGCACCATAGCATGATACTCAGCTTCAGCACTCAAACGAGCAACAACTGGTTGTTTCTTGCTATGCCAAGTAACAAGGTTACCTCCAACAAAAGTGCAATATCCAGATATAGAATGACGGTCAGTCCGATTGCCAGCCCAATCAGCATCACTAAAGCCAGTGACGATGGATGATAAAGTAAACGGCGACTTGGAGCATGTTTGAGATAACACACGATTTGAAACACAGCATCAAAATGAGGTTCATGAGGAGTATGCATAAATTGGCTAACACTCACCACATAAGTGATATCCGGATGAGTGCCGGTAAGATAAATCAACTTTCCAACTAAATGACCAATATCAAGAAACAACTCTCCAGTCTCACCATCAAGTTTAACCGAGGAGTCTATAGAAGTATCACTGGGACGAGTGCCCAGAAGACTAGTTTCAACACGAAGATCAAGCACATATTTACGTTGAGAAAGAAACAAACCCTGAGAGGAGCGAGCAATCTCAATCCCAAGAAAATACTGCAGACTACCTAAGTCCTTTGTGTGAAATTGCTTACCCATATAAAGCTTCAGATTAGCAATACGGGTGGAGTCACTGCCAGAGATGATGATGTTGTCCACATAAACAATGAGAACAACAACCTCAGTAGATGAGTGACGAACAAAAATAGAGTGATTAGAAGTGGAATGACAGAACTCATATGCAAGCAGAACTCATATGCAAGCACAACAATACTGAAGCGATCAAACCAAGCACGAGGACAATGTTTGAGACTATATAAAGCCTTCCGTAACGGACAAACCGTATGCTCATGACCAGGAACAACATAGCCAGGAGGTCGATCCATATAGACCTCCTCGTTAAGATTGCCATGAAGAAAGACGTTCTTTATATCAAGCTGATATAAAGGCCAAGACTGACTAATGGCAACAGAGAGAAGAATCTGAACAAAATTAAGGCGAGCCACAGGGGAGAAGGTCTCTAGATAATCAACGCCATAGGTTTGAGTATAACCTTTGGCCACGAGACGGGCTTTAAGCCGCTCAACAGTACCATAAGGAAGATACTTAACAGTATAAATACAACGATAGCCAACAACAAGTTTCCTAAAAGGAAGAGGTGTAAGTTCCCAAGTTTGATTCTAATGAAGAGCACTTATCTCCTCATCCATAGCATGTTTCCAACCCAACATCAACATAGCCTGCTGAAAAGATGGAATAGAAAGACAAGACAAGCTATGAACAAAGGAGTGAAAACTAGGGGAAATGCGAGCATAAGAAACAAAATTAGAAATAGGATGCTAAGAACAAGTACATTTACTTCGGCACAATGCAATAAGTAAATCATCATCAGATGGCATAGGTAGAGGGGGGGCAGGAACCTCAGACATAAAAGATGAAGTAGCCGGGCCATAAGAAACCACTTGACGGGCTTGGGACTGCTGATGAACTTGTAGAGGAGATGACGGAGAAGAATCCAAACCAACAGAAGATGACGAGGAAACAAAGGGCACCGGAAGAGTAGGAGTTAGAACGGATGTCTCTCTCTCCCTCATAACAAGAGATAAAATCCTCTGATAACTGCTAACCAGATGAGGAGAAAAAGGAGGTGGACTCAAAAAAGGTGACATTGGCACTAATAAAGAACCGACGAGACTCGGGATGATAACACTGATAACCTTTTTGTGTATGGGAATAGTCGACAAAAATACATTTGCGAGCTCGGGAGATAATTTATCTTGCCCCGGATCAAGGACATGGACAAAGGCCACACAACCAAAAACATGAGGAGGAAGAGGAAACGAAGAACAATTAGGGTATAATTGAGAGTAGGGAGACTGATTATGTGCTGGAAATTTGTGTTAATGCATATAATAAGATAGTGGCATATGATAGTGGTGTTGGTGGTAGATAGTGGCATGTATAGAATATGATAGTGGTGTTGGTGGTAGATAATGGCATGTATAGAATATGATAGTGGTGTTGGTGGTAGATAATGGCATGTATAGAATATGATAGTGGTGTTGGTGGTAGATAATGGCATGTATAGAATATGATAGTGGTGTTGGTGGTAGATAATGGCATGTATAGAATATGATAGTGGTGTTGGTGGTAGATAATGGCATGTATAGAATATGATAGTGGTGTTGGTGGTAGATAATGGCATGTATAGAATATGATAGTGGTGTTGGTGGTAGATAATGGCATGTATAGAATATGATAGTGGTGTTGGTGGTAGATAATGGCATGTATAGAATATGATAGTGGTGTTGGTGGTAGATAATGGCATGTATAGAATATGATAGTGGTGTTGGTGGTAGATAATGGCATGTATAGAATATGATAGTGGTGTTGGTGGTAGATAATGGCATGTATAGAATATGATAGTGGTGTTGGTGGTAGATAATGGCATGTATAGAATATGATAGTGGTGTTGGTGGTAGATAATGGCATGTATAGAATATGATAGTGGTGTTGGTGGTAGATAATGGCATGTATAGAATATGATCCGCTGTTCGACAGTTGGGACGCTGAAAACTCCATGGTTATGACATGGTTGGTCAATTCCATGGAGGAGGATATAAGCTCTAATTGCATGTGCTATCCTACTGCACAAGAATTGTGGGATAATGTTAGTCAGATGTATTCTGACCTAGGAAATCAATCTCAAGTTTTCGAATTAACTTTGAAGTTGGGAGAGATTCGTCAAGGAGATGATTCCGTCACCAAATATTTCAATTCGTTGAAAGGTTATGGCAGGATCTTGACATCTTCAACACATACGTATGGAAATCGGTTGACGACTGCAACCACCACAAGAAAACTGTGGAAGACAGCCGTATTTACAAGTTTCTTGCCGGCCTCAACATTGAGTTCGATGAAGTGCGAGGAAGAATTATTGGCAGACCTCCTCTCCCATCCATTGGCGAAGTATTTGCCGAAGTCAGAAGGGAAGAGAGCCGAAGAAGCGTCATGCTTAAGAAAAAAGGTAATGGTGAATCAATTGAAATTTCTGCTTTAATTAGCGATGCTGCGGCCAACAAGGCTGCAAATTACCAGCGCAGGTTTGATGATAAGCCACGAGTCTGGTGTGATTTTTGCAACAAGCCTCGCCATACACGCGAAACGTGTTGGAAGATCCATGGCAAACCTGTCAACTGGAAAAGCAGCAAACAAGGAGAGAAGAATCGTGGCTTTCCTACCGCTAATGAAGCCGATTCAGGTCCCTTCAACAAAGAGCAGATTGATCAACTCTTAAAGCTGAT